TTTTTTGTCTTTCTGAGACAGGGTCTCCCTGTAGCCCCAGCTGGCCTGGAACTCGCTGTGTAGACCAGGTTGGCAGCTACTGCTGAGCTAGTGCTCCAATCTCATGAAAAAACTTATGGAGAATTTGTGTTGCTGGACCTTATGGTCCATTTTTTATTGCATGGTAGAGGTCACTTTGTCAGCTAAGAAGGTGAGATCTTTCAGATTTGCCTTAAAATACTTGATTTGCTACCCTTTTTGAGGTGAGATTTCTCAATGTGGCCTAAGGTAACCTTGAACTCCTCAGGGTCAGGTGATCATTCTCAGCTTCCTCTCCCCAGCAAGCAAGGTGGAAGCTAATTTGCTGCCTTTGCAGATTTGAAAAGCTGTTTGTAGAATGGAAGAGTTCCAGTTTTCTATCACCAGCAGAGTAGGGAAGGGATTTCACAGTGAAATTCAGATTTCTGTCTCTTGTAAGATGGGAAGATAGGACTATGCTGGGCCAGAGTGAGGGGATGTAGGCACGCTGGTCTGCCATGCAGATCTTTTCCCTCCACCTGGGCATTTGGTTAACTGCCATTCTGACATCCTTCCGAACCTTCCCCTTGGCCTGCTGCCCACAAGCTCCCTGACCTGCCCACATTTGGAGACCTTGCATGTTTCCTTCTTAGGGTTGCCAGTGTCATTTCCTATGCTCTCATACTTTGATCTGTATGTGAGCAGTTGCCAGACTAATGTGCTGTGTGGCCTTGTTCTCACTTGGGTCTTTCTCCTCCTAGGATCTCAGTAATATCGGCCCTGCTTATGACAACCAGAAGCAAAGCAGCACTGTGTCTGCCAGTGGGAATCTGAATGGTATGTGTCAGGAGGTCTGAGATGCTTGTAAGTTAGAGATGCTCGGATGCCTAGAATTAGTGCCCTCTGTGATGACCCAGACCTGGAGACTCACTAAGTTCAAAATTCAGATTTTAGAAACTAGTCAAAGATTTGGGAAATGATAATGAAAGGGAGCTTTGCCACTTTACAGTGCAGTTTGGCCTCATCATTATCACTAACATGTTAATTAAACACATTAGTGGTATGTACTGTAAATTTCTATTCATGCATATGTCGTGCATTAATGATGCATATTCAGTCAAATTTGGCTTGAGTGAAACAGATTTAGTGTAAAACACTAGCAATTTTAAGGTCAAACTTAGAGTCCATATCTGTATCCTGTAATAAAAATAATTTAGAAAATCCTGTTGTTCCCTGCTCTTCATAGCTCAACTCTTACTTGACAAGATGCCTTTGTCCCTGTAATTTTTCTTGTCCTGAAACTTCAGTATACACCGATGACAGCAATTCTGTATGGTCACCACTGTGGCATGTTTTTTCTCTGTGGTGACCTGTTTAATAGAGGGAATGTTCTTCATTACTAATCTAATGAGAACTAGGGTGCCTGGGAGGGACCTAACTGGGCCTGCCACACACAGCATCATTCATGAACTGGTCTTTTGGGAGCAGAACATCTCAGATAGATGATCCTTTCCATAGTTATAAACATTCTCAGATGTGTTGCAAATGCAAGCATATCGTTTATCTTTTTTACATCGTGTTTTCCCTTCTTCATTGTTGATTCTTGACAATACACACTGCCACTTCTGTTCTTACAGGTGGAGCCACTTTGGGAGGTGAATTCCTCCTCTGTCTTCTTTCAGCCTCTCAGACTTAAGTATTTTGTGGTTTGGAAAATGCTTTTTGCTGAGCTTTGGTAGAAGCTAAACTATGTAATTTTAAAGCATTGTGGAAGTGGCGTGGATAGCACCAAAGATGAAGCAGTAGTTCCAGTGTAACATTAGGAATTAAAAGCTTGTATGTTGTCATATTCTGCCTCACATGGTCAACCAGTGGTCCCTTTAATGTTGTCTGCTCTGTTTAAGATGTCCTAACTTACAGAAATGACACTAAAGAATTTGACAGGTTTTCAGTAATAATGTCATTGCAACTATTTTAACATTAAACCTTTTATGAGCAGTATAAATAACAGCCAAGTTCGTAAAAGCCTGCTGTGCATTAGTCTGGTGCTGTGTC